AAAAAAAAAAAAAAAAAAAAACAAATCAAAAAAGAAATGAAAAGACTACCCCAACGCATAGCAAAGATAGCGGACACGGGTAGTGACCGCAGCGGGCGCCACACTGAGGTGACTGTGGCTATTTCCTGTTCCCTGCTGCTGACCGTCGCGGGGGAGGGGATATGTGAACAGGGAATAGCCACGGGGCGTGAGAGAACGCGGAGGAAATTCATCCAAGGGCGAAATCAACGCAGAAACTACAAAGTTTCCAAGTACACAGAGACCAATATAATATGTTATATATAAACCCGGAAGGGAGTAGGGAGAGGGACGAGGGGGGAGAGACAGGCGACTCAAGCATGGGTGATTCTAGTCGTATTTCGTGGCCGCGTCTCGTGTTTGGCAGTGTGTGTCTTCACATCACGCCGTGTACTGTGCGACGCCGGGCGAATGACTTTATGAATACACGCAAACAGTACACAGCAGCAGCAATGCCACTAGCATGAAGGAAGGCTTCGCAGGGGGATCTTCAAATCCACTCGTACNGCACCAGCCCCTGTCTTCTTTTTTGGTTAAAGCACCCCTGTCCCCATTTCACAGGTGTTGCTCCCGCCACAACGGCGTTTTTTTTCCCTTCGACGGGAGGCGGGAGTTGTGATTGGCGCGCGAATGGATCGAGGCGAGCGGCGAGAGCAGCCGCAGTCAAGAGGAAAACGGAACTGAATGCAAATAACAAGAAGAAAAGAAAAAAAAATCGGAAAGAAATAAAAAGCAGGAACCTGATGGGGATGCAGAAAGGAATGAGAGTGCACGGGTCTTTCCTGTCCATGTTGCACATTCGCTTTTTCGTCCCCCTCAAATTTTTATCCTTTTCCTCTTTGTTCTTACATTTCCTTTGTTCCTTTTGTTTTTCTTTGTTTTGCTCATCTCTCTTCCTTCTTCCCCCTCCACATCCACGATTTTTTTCTTTTCGTTCTTTTGTTTTCTTTTTGTTTGTTTTTGTTTCTTTGTTTTCGCAGTGGTTGCCCGGGGGGGATGGCGCGCGTGGTGTGCATTCTGCAGCTTCCTCCGTGACTTGCATAATGGCCGCTTCATTCTTAGCCATCATTGCTCTTATTGTTGTGTCGCACCGGAGCTGCAGCCACCGTGGGCCATCTTACCCATTTTCTTTTTGTTTTTGTTTTGTATTTTACTCCCCGACACGAGCTCTCTTCGGCGTGTGTGGGCGTGTGTTGAGTTCCTGTGCTCTCACCCCCTCTGAAACTGTTCTTCACTCGGATACATCGNCACGAGCTCTCTTCGGCGTGTGTGGGCGTGTGTTGAGTTCCTGTGCTCTCACCCCCTCTGAAACTGTTCTTCACTCGGATACATCGGCACAGCGTGACTGATGCACATGCGCATGCCGTTCCTCGCTTATTGTCTGTTTCTGCGCTTTGCACTGTGGCTTTCTCCTCCACCACCTTTTTTCCTTTTCCTCTTATTTTTCCACTCCCTCCCTTCCCCCGCTGCGGTGCGTGCCGGTGCTGTGGAGGCGAAAACCGCATAGTTTCTTCATCCACTTCGGCTGCGGCAAAGAAAAAAATGTCGTCGGGCAACGCTGCTGGTGGTGGTGGTGGTGGCGGCGGCGGCGTGCGGGAGCTCGGCACCGTCACAGCCGGCATGGCCATGATGAACTTCGACGAGAAGACAAAGCCGTACACCCGCGCAGACTTCCTGCGGTTCTTGCAGAAGTACGACGAGAACTTGAGCCCGTCGGAGATGCGACTGATCGAGAAGGGGATGCTGGGCACCTTTCTCGGCATGCCGCTTGGCTTCGTTCTCGGCTACAAGATTAGCTCGCGCTTCGCCTGGCACCGTGTGGTGCGCGCGTTCGCCTCAATTGACGGCAAGGAGGGTGCCAACAAGCCGTCGTGGATCGTGCGCAACGCTCCGACTATCGGCAAGACGCTCTTCGGTCTAACAGGGGCGACGATTCCGTACATGGTGGTGCAGCAGTGGTTCATTTCGCGCGTGCTGGAGCTCGACGAGCACGAGAGCAACCTCTCCTTCCACGTGCGGCGCCTTCTGATTACGCAGCGCAGCGGCATGATGTTCAAGCGCACAGCCACACGCGAAGTGACGCGCGAGGAACAGGAGCGGCTGCTGCAGGAGTCCGCGGAACAGGCGGAGGAGAACCGCACAGGCCGCCGCAGCGGCGTGAGTGCGGGTGCGATGGATGTCAATCTGCGCCTAGGGCAGCAGGTGCTCACGCCCGTGGCGCAAACTGGCTACAAGCCAATGCCGGGCCAGTCATCGTCTTGAAACCTCCTCCCACACACCAAGGAGAAAAAGAAAAGAAGAAAAATCAATGCAAAGGCGAATACGAAGTTGAAGAAATTGAAGATAATGATGTTTCTCTTGTGGGTGGATTGATGCTGATCTCTGTTGCATTTCATCCTTTCACCGAATTGCTGGTGCCCCGCTCCTGCTCCTCAACACGACTCTAGTAACGATACGCAGAGGGAACATCACTATTGTGCTGCAAGGGCCTACGCTCACATAATCGCCCAATAAGGGAGCATCAGTCAAAAACGGAAAAACAAAGAGGGAGTAGGGGGAGATATATTACAAATCACTAGCGCCAACGACTAAAGCTGCCATGACGAAAATGATAGAGGCGAGAAGAGCCCCATGCGCACGGTTGTCACTTGGTATTCTTGCGGTGTTCTGCGTGGTGTACCTTGCTGTTCCCAGTGCCGCATTCTTTGGCAGCAGCAGCAGGCAGGCCGGTGGGCGTAATGCGGCGGCGGAAGAGGAGGCCGTGGACTACTATGGTGTGCTCGGGCTTGACGAGCATGCCAGCGAGAAGGAAGTGCGGCAGCGGTTCCGAGAGCTCTCCCGCAAGTACCACCCCGATGTGTCTAACACGGAGGCGTCCCGCGCGATGTACGGCAAGATCAACCGCGCCAACGAGGTGCTTTCTGATAAGAAGAAACGTCGCATGTACGACATGCGTGGAGAGGAGGGTCTGCGGCAGCTGGAGCGAGCAGCGGCGCAAGGCGACCAGGGCAATGCACTGGACCCGTTTTCGCGCCTCTTTGGCTTCAGTACTGGCAACAACCTGAAAGGACAAAACCTGGAGGGTACGCTGCATGTGAGTCTGGCGACTGTGTACAAAGGCGGGCAGGAGACGTTCACTATCAACAAGCAGAAAGTGTGTAGCAGGTGCAAGGGCAGCGGCGCGGCGAAGGACAGCGGAGTGGTGACGTGCTCGCAGTGTCGTGGGCGTGGGATTATCGTACAGCGGCTGCAGATAGGCGGCAACATGTTCCAGAGCATCCAGCAGGCGTGCCCACATTGCGAGGGGAGTGGCAAGGTGGCGCGGCACAAGTGCCCGTCGTGCGGCGGCAACAAGGTGGTGCGCGGTGACGTGACGCTGACGATGGACATCGAGCAGGGCATGCCGGAGGGCCACACCGTGACGTTCGAGATGGAGGCTGACGAGTCGCCGGACATGATCCCCGGTGATCTCGTCATGACGGTGCACACAAAGCCGCATTCGTACTACACACGCCGCCCGAACGGTCTCGACCTCGACGCGACGCTGACGGTCACACTGAAGGAGGCGCTGCTCGGCTTCGAACGCCACGTGGCGCACCTCGACGCATCCGACGTGTCGGTGGAGAACACCGGCGTGACGCCGTTCGGCACGGTGCTGAAGATACGCGGGCGCGGCATGCCACGGCATCACACGCCTTCAGAGCGCGGTGATTTGTATGTGAAGGTTCTCTTTGAGTTGCCCAAGCTGCTGACGGAGGCCCAAAAGAAGGAGATCGAGGAACACTTCTGAGATTGGAGGAAAGGAGTGGGGTGCGCCGTTTTTCTTTTCTTCCCTTTCTCCGCCTTATTTTCCATGCCATGTGCGCTTAACGTGGATGTGGGAATGCGGCGCGCAGCCGCAATGGTGCCCGCAGGATTTCTTTTTATGCATACATTCTCTACAGTCCCTGTGATGTTGCGGCACGGGACCTTGTGTGCCTGCGTGTGTAGTGCTGTGCGTTCGTCTCCACGCCGCGATGCTGCTGTCTTGGTACACATTGCACTGCCTCTCTTTGTGTATTGGCTTACCTCAAACACACATGTCTACGTGTGGCATATACGTGTTTCCATACACTGTAGTGATTTGCGCAGTACACACCAGACTTTATTTCTAGCGAAAGAGAGACATATATATATATATAGAGAGAGAGAGAGAAATCAAAGGCTAAGCAATAAAAAACAAACTCCCCAGAAAGAACATAATCGATACAAGCAATGTTCCGTCGTTGTGCAGTGAAGCTTAACCCCTACGACGTTGTCGTGATTGGCGGTGGCCCCGGCGGCTATGTGGCGGCCATCAAGGCGGCGCAGCTCGGCCTTAAGACGGCATGTGTTGAGAAGCGTGGCTCGCTCGGCGGTACCTGCCTGAACGTTGGCTGCATTCCCTCAAAGGCGCTCCTGCACGCGACGCACTTGTACCACGACGCACACGCCAACTTTGCGCGCTACGGCCTGCTTGGTGGCGAGACCATCACGATGGACACGGTGAAGATGCAGCAGCAGAAGGAGAAGGCGGTGAAGGGCCTCACGGGGGGTGTGGAGTACCTCTTGAAGAAGAACAAGGTGGCGTACTACAAGGGTGAGGGCAGCTTTGAGTCGGCGACCACCATCAAGATCGCCGGCCTCGATGGCAAGGAAGAGAAGATCGAGACGAAGAAAACGATCATCGCCACTGGGAGCGAGCCGACGCAGCTGCCGTTCCTACCCTTCGACGAGAAGGCTGTGCTGTCCTCCACAGGCGCCCTCGCCCTGCAAGAGGTGCCCAAGACGATGGTGGTGATTGGTGGCGGCGTCATCGGGCTCGAGCTCGGCAGCGTGTGGGCGCGACTTGGCGCGAGCGTGACGGTTGTTGAGTTTGCCCCCCGCTGCGCACCGACGCTTGACGAGGACGTCACAAACGCCCTCGTTGGCGCCCTTGCGAAGAATGAGAAGATGAAGTTCATGACGAGCACCAAGGTGGTGAGCGGGACGAACAACGGCAGCAGCGTGACGCTCGAGGTGGAGGGCAAGGACGGCAAGCGCGAGACGCTCACGTGCGACGCGCTGCTCGTGTCGGTTGGACGGCGCCCGCACACCGGCGGCCTCGGCCTCGACAAGATCAACGTCGCCACGAACGACCGCGGCTTCGTGAAGATCGGCAACCACTTCGAGACGAATGTGCCGAACGTGTACGCGATCGGTGACGTGGTCGACAAGGGCCCGATGCTCGCGCACAAGGCGGAGGACGAGGGCGTCGCCTGCGCAGAGCTGCTCGCCGGCAAGCCGGGCCACGTGAACTACGACGTCATCCCCGGCGTTATCTACACCATGCCGGAGGTGGCGAACGTCGGCAAGACGGAGCAGGAGCTGAAGTCGGCGGGCGTCGCGTACAAGGTCGGCAAGTTCCCCTTCAACGCCAACAGTCGCGCCAAGGCGGTCGCCACGGAGGACGGCTTCGTGAAGGTGCTCGTCGACAAGGCCACCGACCGCATTCTCGGCGTGCACATCGTCTGCACGGCCGCGGGCGAACTTATCGGCGAGGCGTGCCTCGCGATGGAGTATGGCGCCAGCTCCGAGGACGTCGGCCGCACGTGCCACGCACACCCGACCATGTCGGAGGCGCTGAAGGAGGCGTGTATGGCGTGCTTCGCCAAGAGCATTAACTGTTAACACGGCCGTCGTGGGATGGGCCCATGCGCTCGGAGCCGAGTGTAAGAGGTGTGCAGAGAAGTATGCACACGTAGGCACACGAGCAAATGAAACCATGCACAGTAAAAGAAAAAAAAAACCAAGCAAGCAAAGCAAAAGAAAACAAATCAAAAACAAAGGCAACGACAACAACAAAACAGGAGCACCCACGAAAGAAGCAAGAAGAAAGAAATTCCAGCGCGCTACACCTTGTAATGTGTGGGAGGGACAAAAAACAAAACAAAAAAAAACACAATAGTGAGAGATGGTAAAGGATGCGGTGACTGAGGGTGGGTAGATGCACGCGATTGCTTGTCACTTGTTTGTAGGCTTGTGTGGCACACAAACGAGTGCGTGAGCGATCGAGGAGAGGGGGGATGGGGCGTTGATACAGAGGCGGATGCCTGTGTTTACCCTAGCGCTGAGAATATTCCCCTCCTCCTATTCATCGGCATCATCATCATCATCATCATCTTCCTTTTCATCATTGGAAGCAGAAGGTGCACTAACGGCAACTGTGGGCCGTGCCGAGGGATGGAGAAGAGTGGCAGATGGCGAAGTAATAAAAGGCACATGCGTTACCCATTCTTCATGTTTTGCTCGCTGGGCTCCCCACCACAGCCCCTTGCCGCTTCACGACGTATGGCGCCCACTTTGAAAGTGGGTGCCGACGTTTCTTTTTTTCGGTCTTACTGTTGTTTCACGTACTTGCGTGACTCTCCTGATGAGGTCTGCAGTGCCGCGCCAAGGCGGGCACGAAGCGTTGATTCGCTGCTCATGCCTTCCATCTGTTCTTTCTGCTCATGTCTCCTTCCTGTGATCTTTCCTCACAGTGTCCTAGAGGTGGTTAGACGTAGCAAATAGGGGAAGGGGTACCGCGAGAGAAGGAAGAACAAAATATACTCAACAAAAGAAAGAACAATAGGGCCCACCTTGAGCTTGGTTGCTGCGTGTGCCAGACTTCATACCCAACATCATCGTCATCGTCATCAGCAGCAGCAACAGCAACAGAGGTAGCAGCCAAGATGAACCCTACTACACTCCGTGAGGTCTCAAATCTTTCCGGTGGCNCGTCATCAGCAGCAGCAACAGCAACAGAGGTAGCAGCCAAGATGAACCCTACTACACTCCGTGAGGTCTCAAATCTTTCCGGTGGCGCCGTCGACGTCAAGCAGCGGTTGGCACAGCGCGTCAGCGTCAACTGGGACTCGTACCGCTTGGCCCAGCCAACGTCGACCTCTAGATCCAGCCTCTACGGCACCACTGCAGCGGCACCAGGAGCATCAGCAGCGGAGCGGGCGAAGGACGCGCCCGCCAGCCCGCACGCCGACAGGTACCACGCCTACGACCCTGTCTACTGCAGCGAGATTGTGAAGGATATCACCAAGATGTATATGGAGAGGGAGCGACTGATAGACCTGCACTCGTCAAGCGGCCAGCTAGTGGCGTCCCCGCGGTACCTCACGTACCAACCGGAGATCAACGAGAAGATGCGCATGATACTGGTCGACTGGCTGATTGACGTGCACCTCAAGTTCAAGCTGCACCCCGAGACGATGTACTTGGCGGTGAACATCATGGACCGCTACCTCTCGTGCGTAAACACAAAGCGATCGACGGGGGCCTACGTGGCGCGCTCACAGCTCCAGCTTGTTGGCATCACCGGCATCCTACTCGCTGCTAAGTACGAGGAGATCTGGCCGCCGGAGGTGAAGGAGTGCGTGCACATAAGCGCCAATACGTATACGCGGGATGAGGTGATAAAGATGGAGCGCAGCATTTGCACCGCCCTCTCGTTCCGCCTCACAGTGCCGACGCCATTCCCATTCATAGTGCGCCTGCTCAGCGTTGTGGAGGGGCTTGAGCGCGGTGGCAGCGGTGCCGAAGAACTTACGGCGTACATGACGCTGCTGCGTCACACTGCGTTCTTCTTCCTTGAGCACGCCATGCTCGACTACAAATGCCTGCAGTTCGTCTCATCGCAGCACGCGAATGCCGCGCTGTTCCTCGCCCTCGTGACGATGCGCATCAAACAGCAAGGAGTGTCATGCTCCTTGGCGGGCGAGACGATTTGGAATCGGCAGCTGCAGCACTACAGCAAGGCGCAGGTGCGAGACTTCAAGGCCTGCGCGGAGACCATACTGGACTTCGTGAGCTACGTCCCCACGACGAAGTACCAGGCGGTGCGGCGCAAGTACAGCAGCACCAAGTACAGCGAGGTGGCGAAGCTCATCATGCCCAACGAGGTCCCCGACTGTTGATCGCCTCGCTTTTATGCACGCACATCAAACAAACATGCACACAGGCACATATGCAAACAAACGCACCACCGTATATGTATACACACACACTTACTGAGAGAACAGGAGGCTCCAAAGTACCGAAGTTAGTAGGCTGCCTTTCCATTGTTTTTTCACTCACGCTCACTCAGTCACAGATTCCGTATATATATATATATATATATATGTGTGTGTGTGTGCGCATATGCGTCTGCGTGTGCGCGTCTATATGTATGCGTGTATGCATGCACGTTTGGCTCCACTCCAATTCCCCCCCACTCTCCTTATAACCCTTCACGGCCGGGAGGATGGCGCTGCGCTGCCCAGTGAGAGGCCTGCTGCTGCTGCTGGCTGGCGCCGCAGTTGGTCCGGCCGCCTCGCCCCCACACGTCGCCTTTAGATGATTAGATTCACGCACACACTGATTTGTTACATCACCTCACCGTCTGTGCCCCCCTGTTCGGCAAGGCCCTCCCCGCGGTGGCGAGGCTGGGAGTGGACGACGCTGAGCGAGGGTACGAGAATAAGAAGAAGAGCAGAACGAACGAGAAAGACAAGAAGGAAAGAAAGAAAAAAGGACCCCCCCAAAAAAAAAAAAA